ACCTCGTTTTCTCACTATGCTTTATAAAACATTATCCAGGCACCCTTCGCGCCCTAGATAGTTCGACGCGAGGTTAATAAAATAATAAAATCTATTAGTAACGCGATACACGACTAGACAGTATTTTTTTTTAGAATGGTAAATAATCATCTGGAAAATAATTTTGCAGCAAGTATTGTCGAGTAACGGCTACTCTCAGTATGGGACTAGATACAGGGAAACGTCAAGAGGGTCTCTTTCTGATTTACAGATGTAATACGGGGAAATGCTTAGTGCCGGACTCAGCCCTCGTGATGTTACCAGAGTTAATTTTATTTTCGGCGAAATTACGCGTGATGGCGCCACTGCTGAGAATCGTGAAATTACGCGTAAGTCTGATTTGGGTATTTGCTCGGATTCAACTGTCTATGCGGGGCCAATGGTTTCTCTTTAAAATTCTCCAACCCTTATTTTCGACACTTTCAAGAAATTCTTTGGATACCTTTTCTTATGTGGTTCTACCCTGGTGTCTATCCTTGTGTAATAGGGATGAGATTAAGAGAGGAATCGACGATGAAATTTTTCTATTTAAATAATATTAGGAATTAATTTTGGAAATTTATTATTCAGAATTTCGTTAAGGGTTGTGACATTTTAAAGGGTGAAATTTACAAGCACGAAATTATTGGTCGTACGTATATGATAGTCAGGATGTACGTAACATATAAGATATACGTAAGCTTTAAGGGAATGAAAGAGAAAGTGTTTGGTATACAAAGGGACACCCTATATTCTGCATTCTACACCCTTGTATCTATGCATATGGGATACTGGGGTATAAACGAGAATTCACCATCCCCTTCTAACTTTATATGGCTCTTATTAAATTCCTGCTATAGTGTCATTAAAGGTATTTGGTATTATTTAACCCCTGTCCTGACCTTTCGCATGGAACTTTTTTATCCTGATACTCGAACCTTCTCATCATGCAGGGGATGTGGCCATCGCCATTGTGCTGGACCACTAATAATTTCGGATGACTCTTCACGTTTTTGCAATTAACGTCCATGACCCTTTTTCACCTGTAAACTCATCCCTCGGATGTTTCCTTTATATGGAGGCAGGTATACAATTTGTCATTCACCCCTTGCCGGTGAATTAGCCTGTTCCGTATACGTAATGATAATACTTGTCCCGTACGATTTGGTTTTATCATTTTACACGACCCGACAATTTACTTTGGTCGTCCCTCAATGTAAACGCTGGACTTGAAAATCCCGGGAAACTTTCCAACCACCACTCCAGCCTTCCAATATAACTTGGCCTGTTTTTTGTTAATTTCGTATACAGGGAGTAGCGTATACCGAATATTTAAGTCGATTTTCAGTTTTTCAGTAAAAAATATCGCTTAACCCAATTTTCATATACGTTTCGTATGCGTATGGATATAAAAGAAAGAATTTCTTTCTTTTTTTTTTTTCCGAGACTCAAGCTTTCTCTTAGAAAGAATAATTTTTTAAACTCTACATATTTCTGGGTTACAGGATAGCGAAGTGCCCCAACGATGAAACTGTGTAACTTGGGAAAAACCCAGGCGAGCCATTTACGTACGAGTGGTAAAAAGCGAAAAAATCACTGTAGTTGGAATAATTTGGACGTTTGCATGAATGAGGGTGTTCCTTCTCCGAAGCGGATTTAACGTGGACTTTCGTCTTTTTACATGATAAAGACTGAATAATGAATGTCAAATTTTTATCAGTACGTTGCTTGTAATTTGAACAAATGAGGAATACCGTTACCGAACGAAATTTCATGCAACAAGGGTGATAAACGTGTAAAATCGTATCACGTGTCTATTACGAGGAAATTAGTTTGCAAATATCATTTTATTACGAATCTATGTCATTATAAACTTTTCATTAATTAAATACGTGCCATTTAAATATAAACATGGCAACTAAGACTGACGAATCAACTAAGCTTATTTTAACAGTCTTCATTATTGACGAACGTCAACTAACATTTCCCTCTAGCAATTAGAATATTTTTCATAGTGCACCGTCACACTCGCTAATTGATGACACCGACAGCCAATCACAATCGGAATAAAGGCAACAGCCATGCTGCAATCGAACTTCGATAGAAAATTTAACATGACCTTTTCAGGAGAAAAATAGGAAGGAAAAAATGGAATTGGAAAAACAAATAATTGAAAATCGATATCAACACAACAAGCATATGTCACGTATCACGAACAATCGTAATCTTGTATTATTATACGTAATCGGACATGGTGACGATAACCCATGATTTCATTGAACGAATGGATTATAATGTTTACAAAGTCTTACACGTATCTGGTATCGTAACGGCACGTGATGATTGGATTATCTCACAATGTAAAAAAAAATGAGAAACGTGTCAGGACATTCCATATAGGGGATTTTTATACCGTGATAATAGAAATATTAAATTTAAGCATTAAAAAAAATACAAAGGTCGAAAGGAGTCAAGCACGTTAACTTTATTCCCCTTCAAAATTCTCTCTCGAAATTATGCCGAAAGAACATAAAATAAATAGTATATTAATATCGCGTAGCTACTCATCCACCCTTTATCTTTTGATGTGAAATTGTATATCTTCTCTTGCACAGCCGAATTAACGTTTCCACACGGGTTATGCGATCGCACGCAATTTTATTTTCGGCTAATCTTCTTTCGCGACCGACGATCTCGTAATTTCACGTGCTTTTCGTTAAATCCAGTAAAATTCTCCGGTCCTTTTAAATCCGCACGGTATACGCAGTAATCAAGTCTCCGCTCTATTTACGTAACGTTCACACGTTTCATCCGGAGCAAATAACCAGCCAAGTCCTTCCGCGTCATTGCCTTGAATTTGGAAATTCGTAGACGGCAAGTAAGCTCATGCAGATTTCAAGCACGGCCACACGTATACGTGTCAGAATAGTTATTTTTTTTTGTTGCACAAATATTTCAAAAATATTTTTTTTTCCTATTTATCAGCACTAAGAGCGAGACAAAAATTTATTTTCAATAAGGATTTATTCTTGCCATACTTTGTCCTTCGACAAATGATTCACATTTCGGTGACGACCATACGTCATCTAGCGGCACAGTTTTCTATGTAAACGTTTCCTAACCTAAGAATACTTCTTCTTGTTGATTCATTCCACGTAAAATTCATTGTTTTACTTAGGAAACTCCTGAGATAGATAATCCCACTCGTGGTCGCGGTGGAGCGCCTTGTCAGCCTTTTTTACGAGGTAACCTAGGTTAGGTACCTCGTAAAATATTACGCTGACGGTTCCGACATCTTTATTCCAGTCCGCTGTTTATACTCTACACGTGGTCGGATTGTCGTTCAAGAAGGACATAGAGAGGTAGAGAGGTAGAGAGAGAGAGAGAGAGAGAGAGACAGTCGCATACGTCCCAGGTATTTCGGTCTTAGCGACTACGCTCATATCATTAATAATTAAATTAAATTTTCCACGAGGGGTTGAAAAGCCCTGCTGAGTTACCGTCGCGCAAGGCATTCGATGGGCCCAATTAATTTCATTAATTGCGTCAGTTATTTATGAGCTTAAAATCAATTACGTTTTAATTGCGTCAGGTTGGTTGCTACGTTTTGACACGAAAATTAATGTCCATTGATTCATGGCTTCGGCCAATTATCCAGTTGTTGAAACTGTCTCTCGTTTTAACATAAGCTTACAAATCTGTTTATATCAGCAGATCACCTTCCCCTCCATGAGCTTCATTTAAGGGTAGAAAATAATTCAAGTTGCACCATGATGACCTAAGGGTCCTTCATATCCCCCCTTATACTGACGCCGTAAAGGGATACGTCCTCAAATTTAACAGGCACCCTTAACGGAGGGGTAAGGCTTAATTTGTATAATACAAAGTACAACCCTACCCCTTTTAAAACTGGTCCGGAATATATCGCGGTACTTAAGTGTCTGGTTCCAGTTAAAAATGGCTTTCTAGTACCTAGCAGGGCTAGCGATAAGAACAATCGATTCGCGTAAAACTCTTCCTGGTCGTACTGGCCTTAGGAAAAGCGTCCTAAAACTTACAGCCCTTCGTTGAAAAGTACTAGATCTTTTTTCCTATACTTTTTTATTATATTCAAACGAATTTCACCGATGCTCCAATTTACTAAGGGTAGTTTTGCTCGCTCGTTAGTGCACAGCCACAATGATACCACGACGCGATAGTAATATCGATTTGTCGACGTGAACCATACAGTGTGATAATTGAGTTCATTTACCATCATCCTGCAGGACCGTGATACACTTATGACTTTTTAACGCCATAATTTCTCTGTGCTTTACAGTTCCTTCGCGGAAACGACTGAGTTACATTAATTTACCTTTATCGCGGGCATTGACAAGAGGGACAAGTTTCAGATTAATTTGAGGTGGTCCTCTCATTCGGAATCTTAAAGATTTATTTTGTATTTTTCTTGAATTTCACTTCTGACAAGAATTTAGTACTGCTTGTTATGCTTCTAAATCATATATCCCACAGTGGTATCGGTTTAAGCGTTTCCCGTAGGTCTTCGCAGTGTTAAAGGAGAACGTGGGATGCTTAAATGCCTGTATACTCCGAGCTTAGTCGAGTTTAACGAAAACTATGTGAAGCTTGAAGAAGCAAGCTCATTTCTCGGGGCAGGTGTACCGATATAACTTGAGCTGGGTTTGCTGTGAAAGACGCGAGAAAGCTAATAAAACAGCGTCGGATATTCTGTATAACTTTTTTAGGGCTTTAATTCCTGGCCCTGTAAGAGCCTTCGCCTAAAGTGCTTTAATATAGAGGTTAAATTTCATCTCGGAGTATAGAAGCGAGCGGAAGAAATGTATTTTGCAACAAGTAATCGCCTTGGACTTTAGGGTATAAATCACAAGCTAGTCGACTTACGTTGCCATAGAAAATATATATGAATAATACTTAGTGCGTTATAATTATCAAATTAATTGAGAGATTTCAATTGTACTCACTTGTGTGACAGTAGAACTGAGGTAAAGTTCAGGTTGACGGTTACTCGTGGACTGGATGTGATGCGATATCGACATCTTGTGTTTGGAGGATATAGTCCAGGATATCCGGGACTTGTCAGGATGCAACCTTTTCTGCAGCTCTTCTCGTCGTATTCCCAATCGCAAACTGCAAAATATAAATAAGTTAATAACTTTGAAAATGGATTAGAAATTTTTTTTAATAAAAATTTAAAAATATGTGAAAAGTTTAATGACGATAAAATTACTTTTACGATTGCTTCGCGACAGATATAATAATGTATACAGTCGATTCCCTTAGGTACGGTTATCTGGATGATATATTGAATAATGCAAGAATATCTTTATATAAAAATCTCCCTTAGGTAAAATTGGATTCAATGATGAAGAAAGCAAGAAGGCACAGGAACAAGGATTCAAATTGAGGAAACGTACTGAATCGGGCTAATTGGACTGGAATAACGAGACTGTACGGATCAATGGATTTGGCTTCAATTCATTTTGTGCCCTAAGTCATCATCGAGAATTAATCCTCTATATGTTAAGTGATACGTTGCTATTAGAACAGGGTTGGACCTAGGAACGTCAAATAAAATTGATGGATTATATTAAATGGGTTTAAAGAACAAAAGCTCTCATATTCAGAAAGACAATTAATTATGACTTCGATAGATAATCCCTTACACCGTCTATGTATAGTTGGATTTTATACATGCATATTATGTATTCGTTTTAAAATTCATTCGCGTAAGTGATCATTTTTTTATATAATTTTTTTTTCAATTCTCTTCTCAACTCCCCACACTTTTTATCTATACAATACCCGTATGACTGTTAGAATGTACCCAGTACCATCTACGTCAATCTCGTCCACGTTAAGAGTATTGCCTTCCCCTGAGCTAGTAGGTTGGATTTCAATTGACGAAGGAGATGTTGCATCGGGGTTGTTGGTTTTTCTCTTTTGCTCCTTTTTCCAGGCTTTGTTTAGTTTTATATTTCCGGCGTGCAATTGTCATAATGGGCGGAGCCATTAGCGACGGGGAGCTTTTTCAGTCCCGACACACGCTTCCCCAATTTATATAATGCTCTTTGAATTCTACAACACTCTCCCTCTTTAGCCCCTCAGCTTTATTTTTACGTATAGTTTTTTTTTAAGGTTTTTTCTTCTTCCTCGCTAACCCCTCCCCATTCGGTGCTCTTTCTTTACTCGCAATTGACAATGGTACCTAAAACCCACCCTGTGCGTGGAAACGGATGATAAATAAGGGCTAGCGCGTACGATTCAATGTTGTGGAAAAGTCGTGCTAACGTCATGAAACATTTGGTTTTATTTTTCGTGCTTTCTCATCCATTATTCTAACGGTGATAAAGAATTTCCTGCTACGGAACTTCTCTTATGTGTACCTTGAAATTCTTGTAATGTTTACGAAACGTTTACGGTTCGCTTGAGATGAAACTCTTTAGAGGGACCCTTGCTTAAGTTTTCTACCAGTTTTAAAAAAAAAAAAGGATCAAATTTGAACTGTGAAGTGACTGTAGACAGTACTTTAGGGTTGATTCATACGGATTTTAATTTATCACTTGTTTATAATACAAATGAAAATACTTTTCATTTTTGGATCAGACAATTATCATTCGTTTCTTATTATATCGCATTTTAATTGAGATTCGCGATAGGTTCTCCTGGCAGAATTTAAAAATTTACTGTTTGAACTCGAGTATTTTGATGAAAGGGGTATATGAAAATTTCAAATACAATATCCCTTTCTTTACAAGTTTTCTATCCCTCACCTTTACGCGTTACCCTGGGGGAGTTTTATTATGTCGGAATAACACGAAAAAAAAACCCAACCCCCTAAATCTCACGGGTCACGAACTCGCCCTTTCAGGAACAACGTCAATGCAGTTATGATTTCGAGGGAGTCGGCTGCGGAATTCAAAAAAATGGTCTGTTCCAATTCTAAGGGATAACGCGAGCGAAATGAGCGACGGATATTGCCCGAGGGGCTCAATTTCGATTTCAACAGTCTCGCACATCTGAACAATTAAAACGTTATTCCGTGAACCATCGAAGTTATCGGAAAAAAAAAAAAAAAAAGGAAAAAAAGAGACAGAATAACTTCTCAGCGTTCCTTGCGCTATTTTTTTAAAATACATTTTATATGTCGCTCTACTGTTTTTTAACTTTTAACTCCACTCGCGATTTCACACTGAAACGCACAGTCTCTATTGTTAAACTGTGTCAGAGTAATCCGCCTCCATCTAAGGGTCCAAAGGCAAGGAGCAAACTACATTAAAAATGAATTCATTACTTCAGTTACTCGAAACGTTAAACACACGCTTTTCGAGTCCCACTTTGGAAGCGTCCACGACGGTATACCGGAAGCTAGCGAGACACTGGAAGCTGAAGAAAGCGAGAAGAAAGCATGAAAGAGAGAAGCAAGTGATTATACGTTGAGAATTTGACGGATCGCAGTGGATGAAGGAAGACGAGTTCAGCGACGTGTAAAAAGTGCGGGCATTTATGCAGTCTGAGAAGCGAAGGCGTCGGGGCGCTGAGCGTCGCATTTCTTGAGGCGCGTCTCGGTGGTCTGAGGCTTAGTGGCGAAGAGGAGGTGCAGATCTGGAAGTTTTGGACGAGGGGAGCTTTGGCGGTGGTGCCGGTGGTAATGCCGCAGTAGTACTTGTGGCAGTGGTAAACGCCAGTAGTGGTAGATTGAGAACGTGAAGGAAATCGCAAGGGTGGCTTCCCGAGAGACTATAGCGTGGACTGTGGAGATGTCGTAAGGGGGGTTGGGTCACGGCGAGGGGATAACAAAGGGGTGGCTGTTGGGGAAAGATCGTTCGTAACCATTCGATTGATCTGTTTGTCAGCCCTACGACGCCTCTATTCTTTCCTTTCACGGTCTTTACTTCATCCCCTTTCCGTCCCCTATGAGGACTCGCTCGTGGGCATACGAAAAAAGATCATCGTCTCCCGGACGGCGCGTTGCCAGGATACGCGACTTGGTTCTCTTGGCATACTTCAAGGAGGCAGGACGATCAGGACGACAGACTCGATTTCGAATTACGTATTCCACCAATCTATATCTTACCTTTGATACCTTTGACCTACGACCTTTTTTTACTTTACAATGTGCCCGTTTTCTCTCACTAATTTTATTAAAGCTTCATTTCGTGCTCGCTCAACTTGCTTAGTATCGCTTGACGAAATTCCTCGCCAGATTCCTGTACCATGTTACGTCATTAACACTCGGGTCAGGTGAACTAAATTTTCACAGGTCAAGCCCCTCCGCATATCCTTATTCGATTAAGCCCCTGAACAGTCCTGTGTCGCGCTCGCGTAATTTTCCTTGTAATTACAACAAATAAGTACCATGTGTTAACATTGCTAAACTAACTGTTGATCTGATCATTGCACCCGCGGAGTCAAATGCGCAAGGCTAAAATTATCTCGCCGAAATTAACGATCGATACTGAATAAACAATGTCAGATAATTTCTACGTAATCAGTAACCACGAATCGTATCGGTGTATAACGGTTCGACCGGGAGGTTAATCATCCCGGCAAAGGTCATAGGTCAACAACCAAATGTTGAACCTCGAAGAAATATCCCATATCCCAATACGCAATACAGTGCCGTCTCATCGTTAACAACGTACCTTCATTGAATCCCAACGAGTTTACTAGCGTTACCACTATCAGTCACAGTCACTTCGGTTGAGCACATTAGAGATCATGAGAACGAGGTCGCCTCGTAATTTAACTGCTGGTCCAATTAAGGTACTTGGTGTATTGGATGCAGGGAGGTGCGAACGGAAATATTGATGTCACGATGCTCGTTATTTACACCCGTATCGCTTGTCGTTACTTACCTTCATTGCTAACGGGCTTTCCGCCTCTCGCCGGCAAACCGACAGAGGAACTGGCATTCGATGCGAAGCTGAAGTACGCGAGAAACTGGGACCTCGTTGTGTTCTCGTTTATCCTGAAAGGCAAATAATCTCGTGAAAACGTGAATGAATTATACAGCGTGTACCTTTAAGAAAAAAATGTATAATTTCTGTAGAAATGGCAGTACGTCTTGCTGGAGTTAAAATAGTATTGACGAGAGGTACATATGTTCATTACGAAAAATATATATATGAGAATACCAGGTTCGCCTTTACATATGACAAAAAGAAGGAACCGATGTTGAGAGTACGAAAGGGTGTAAATGGAATCCTGAAAAAAAATCCCTTATGAATCTAAGGAACGTGACACGTGACGTTCCGAATTCAAGTAAAAAAGGGTGTGGGTGGAGATGAGGTAGGCGGCGATCCTTTCCACGAAGGTGGAAGGTTGCTCTAATTCAATTATTTAGTTAGGTTAGGTTAGCTTTAGTTAAGTTAACGTCAGCAAAGGTCAGAGGTTACTCGAGACACTCGTAACTCCTAATTATATTTACTCATAATAAATCTCCTTCCTTCGACCCTTCATCAACATTGTATTTGATTAGCTTCCTACTTCCCCAACCTTCTGCGTATCTTTTTATGTACTAGTTCCAAGTATTGTTCCTCCCTTTCCCGTTACCAAACCGTCCTGTATTTTCACCCTATGTACCCTACGTCATCCCCTACTGTTTACGCTCGATCTCTTCGTATGTGCTGCATTTAATATCCCTAGGCGTATACACGTATCACGGAATCATAATCAAAAGCTGTGGAGCCTCGGTTAACCGGCTAACGAAGAAGGGGTTGAGACTACGGGGATTGGCTAAAAGGAATGCCAGTTAAGGGCTGACAAAGGCACGAGCACCTGATTAAGCTCTAACGACCTACGTAAAAAAAAAGGGACCTAGGGATCCTACATTGGTAATATAACAGAAGAAATCATCTAGGTCCGTTCCCATCTTCCAAATGGGTCCAGACTCTATTCTTGGTTAAATCCGTTGAAAATTACTATTTCACTGTTGTACACCGAAATAAAATCGAAGAGAAGTACACAAAGGTGTAAAAACTGATTAAACCTCCGCGTGTATCGAGTCCTACGTACTTCGAGAAAATGAAGAAAGAATCTTCGTTCCTTAGTATCATCGGGATCGAATAACCTCCTATATTACCTCGTAAAACTCTTCACGGTCAAACGTAACCTCTACACAACGAATATGGCTTAGGTCCATTCAATACTGAAAAGACGCCCGTGTCTGATGGACGGCTTAAAAAAAAAAACAAAAAGCCAAAGAAACATCGACGAGTCTTACCCTCTGTAAGACGTTGAGTGATCTTGTCGTAATGCATGTTGAAAAAAAAAAGGAAACTAAGTATACCTTCGTTAACGAAGAGAAACAGCTTACAAAGAACTTCGTGACTAGAAGGTCTCGTCTATGGGTAGGTGGAGTCAAATGGCCTTTGTTCTTAGCACAAGAGTCTCATCCACGAAGTAAAGTGTCTGTCTATTCTGACGCCCTATAAAAAGGTCACGCGTACTGGGAATTAATGTTTTTTTTCTTTCTTTAATCTAAATATGCTCACTATAATCTGGATTTTTCATGGTTCGACAGAGGATATTGAAAAATATATCGTTGAAAAATGATATCTGGATTCGCTGCAGCGTTCACGTCGGTGAGTGATTGCCGTTGATGTTGTTGATTTTTTAATTCTTTTTTTCTTCACGGAGATAAAACACGGTACACCAAAAAAAAATAACTCAGGTGTACTTTGCCACGACCAATTTACCGCGCCCGGATATCGCTTACAGCTTGCAGAGTTTCGAAAAGCTTCGCCATGGCCGGTATGTAAAGGCAACGTCGGTACTTTAAAGCTTCGTTTAATCGACCTATTGACTAGAAGCTTTTAACGGAAACCCGTAAAAGGGACTGGGGATCCGGAACAGTAATTACCCTTAGAACTACTCTATGACTTACATTGCATTGAGAGAAATGACTGGGATTCTATTCCAGGTGAAATATTTGAAAAGTCAGTTAAGGTTAGCTCACCTGCATAGCCCAGATATCATCGCATGGATATTCAGGCGGGTTAGCACCTAACAAATGATTCTTCCTAAGCCTTAAGAAACTTTACTCAGCCTGCATCGGAAGGGTTTATTCAACCTTGGACATTTTTCAAGGCAGCAAGTTTTAGGGTCAGCCCTCGATCATTTACCTTCCCCCATCGCATAAATCCAAGAAGAGTGAATAACGACGCGATGTAAATCCCAGAGGTGGGTGTGCGTCAATCACTATCAAGCGAAGTTGCAGCTACTTTGATATAGGAACTTAATTAAATTGCTTTCGAAAGATGCTTAATTAAAATTCCAAAATGCCCGGCTGTATACGCCATGGCGAGTGTGTACTATCTACGTGAGCGTGTATATATGTAGGTAGCAAAGGTTAAGGGTTTCTTTGGAAGAGTAGCTAAAGTTAGGACAGCGCCCAGTAAAAATCAATAGATAACTTTGTCAATGTAAATTCCAGGCGTCTCGAGATTTTCATGCGAACGTCTGCGACGTCGTTCCTATAAGCGTCGTCACGGGGTATTATATATACGTACATACCGTGAAATCGTGGAAGGAAGAAAGGAGATATGGACGTAGATCGATGTTGGATTTAATAAATTAGAGCATAAGGGTGGCTTTGCTCCGTCGGTAAAGACGACGAGGGGTGGCAGACGGCAAATTCAAAATTGATGCCGCCGCGAGTCTACCTCGATTACCGTAAAACCGCGAGATAGGAGAGCTGCTGAAGCGACTATATATGTATACAGGGGTAGAAGATGGCCGACTATCTAAGTCTTCTTTACGGTGCCAGTAAGAAACGTATAGGGAGTATAGCTGAGTCCGAGGAAATAAAATGCGGCAAGGACTTCTTTCTTTGGTCACGAACGTTCACTGGTTCGTTACTTTAATGAACTCCTTTCCACGATGCACACTAAACTTTTAAGAATATACGCGTATATATCTATATTGTATTTACACACGTCCAAAAATATATATATATATAAGCATTCTGTTCCGTCGGCAAAGACGAATTGAATTTTCGGAATCGTGCCAGAGAATATTTTAACGAAATTTTTGAACTCTGTCCTTTTTCAATTTCTTGAGGCAATATATTTTTTTGAAAAAAATTTTATACGTGTTTTCGTTATCTGTTTATACGATAATTATCACAACCGGAAATGCATAAGTGAAATCTATAAATAAATATTGGTGTGCAATCAGTAAAATTACGAAATAACACTGATAAAATTTACAAGAATTTTGTGTGCTTCTGGCATTAGTTAACAAAAGAGTTAACGGGGGTTGTAGGGTTATCAGGATATATGTCTATTTATAGATATAAATATCAGGTACGTTTTATAAGGATGAAAATTCTGTGAGTTACCAGTGTGATTGACTCTCCTTCTCCTCAACTTTTCTTCCTTCGTATTTCGTTTCCCGTCTCTTTTTACTCTTTCACGCGTTTCATCTCACTCTTTATCTCTTTGTCCACCATATCGCTATGTCTCTCACTCTCAGGTCTCGGTGCCTTCTCTTTTTCGCCCGTAAATATCCGGGATGCGATTTCAGTGCACGAAGTATATTTGCGGAAGGCTCGTCCTTTCACCCCGTGGAAATAAAGGAGAGAAGGAGATGGCTAAGAAAAAAAGAAATTAAAGTGTTTCTAAGTCAGTGATGGTTTCACGCTAAATTCCACCGAAAACCGTTTGAATTTCGCGGGGGTAAGTGCTGTGCTAGCAAGAAGGTATTTCAATGTGACGTAGGTAGGTTGGGTATGCTATATCTATAGCGATAAAAAATTCGAATATCTTAATTGCATTATTTGCATCGAATTCAAAAGGGAGAGGAACACCTTCGACTGTGGAATATCAATGAGAGTAAGGATCGTGTTAGTTCGCATAGCTTCGTGAAAAGTGTTCGAGGTTTCCCCAGGGAAAGGCGAACGAGCGAGGAGAGGAAAAATAAATTAAAGAAATCTTTATTACTGCTCTACCTACCGGGTGCACGTGGCGTGTTCTTTATGCAAGTGGAAATGTCGACATTGTTTCCAGCCCCATATAGATATATAGTATGGATTAGATATACGTACGTACTTGGAATTGTCGTTAGACAGAGACACGAAAAGGGTTAAGAGCAGATCGATGACTTTTAGTAGAGTCGACTGTATACTGTATAGTCACTATGCAGGAATTTAGCCGTTTTGAACCGTTTGCTTTTGGCGATGGATCCAAGTGCCATGTGCAGGGGTTGGCACTCTTGAACTGAGGCTTCGAAACACCCTGACAGACTTTGGAATAGTAGCGAAGCCTTTGGAAATAAAGGAGCCCGCTGCTGGTATAAGTGAGAGATATTTGAAATATTCGCGACAGTCTGTCAGACCTTCGTCCTTCCATCAACGGCATATAAATCCATATCTTCGACCCGCCGCATAACATGCATAACATATCACGACGCGACCGAGAGGAGCTTTATGTTGGAAGCGCAAGAATTCTATATTTCAACTATCGAGGGGGGAATAGAATTTCAGGGGAATTCGAAATGTCTACCAGGTGAATACATGTACTGTATTTACATGTGTTATGATTTTCGTATATCTGTTGATCGGATATACTTGAAAAGAACAAAAATTCGAACGGCATTCGTTTGTTATACACGATCTGTAGAAATAGTCGTGAATTTGATAAAAAGAGAATTTTGAATTATTTTACGTGATAGAAAAACGTGTGTCGATATACGTCTTTGTCGTACATCAAATAGAAATGCTCTCATAGTAAAATGGGGGTCTCATGAATACTTTCCATACAGGAAAAAAAATATTTTTATTGCTTCTCCAAACGTAAAATATCTCAATATTGACGGGATAATAAAATTGTAATAAGGTATTTCCCTTATGGCATACTATTCAGTACGAACATCTATAGGTATACATATATTATCCATTTAATGTATACATATATTATACATTTTTTGCGAAAGATTGAGAAATATCATACCAAGCCACGTGGGAGCTTG